CAATGGAACCATATTAGGGAGGACACTACTGACAATCGGCCCTAGATGTCTATATAATGCTTTGAACGATCGTATACGAAATCTCTTGTTACAATACGACTATTCCAAGTCGACCGATCCTTTGCAGCCACTAGCCTCACATTTGACATCGCTGCTGAGCAGAGAACATCCCAAGACTCATGATATTACCGTTGTCACTCCCAGCGAGTCTTTCCGGCTGCACAAATTCGTCCTCTCAGCTCGCTCTCCCTACTTTAAGAGCAAACTCAGCCAGTCCCCAGACACCAAGCTCTGGAAACCTGCCCCCACGATCCCTCCACAGTCATTTGCCATTGCCCTGAAACATCTGTATCTCGGGGAAGTGCCCAGAGATCTTGGGGGAGGGCCGGGTACAGGGTTCACAGACTCGGAGATTCTTGCCGGTGTCGACCGGATAAGCAAGCATTTAGAGATCCACAACCTTTCACAGTTAATCCTCGACAGTAATGACCGTCGGTTAGCACGACAACGACGCCAGGACGAAGTCCAACGGGGTCGCGACCAACTGGAACAGTGGTTTCGCGAGAACGTCTTGAAGCACGTAATCGAAGTTGAGATATCACGAGCTGATGATGTCAAGTGGGATCGCGACAATGGCATTTTCGCAGACGTGCTTCTGCGTGCTGACGAGGACGAAGATGAAGAAGAGATCGCTCCGGAGCGACAGCCCCAACAATCTCAATCTGCCACAAATGCGCTGGGCATTCCGATTGACCAAAGGTCCAACACCTCGCGCTCGCCCTCACGCTCCAGGAAACCGCGCAAATCCAAAATCTACCCTTGCCATAAAGCCATGCTCATCCGCTCTGAATACTTTACGACCATGTTTGAGTCCTCTTTCCGCGAAGCCCAGGACACGCCGCATCTTCAGATTGTGCCCATCGACTGCAGCCCCGAGGTCCTGGAAATCATATTGACATTTCTGTATGCCGAGAAAGCCGAGTTTGGGCTGGATGTCGCTGTCGACGTCCTCTTCGCCGCGGACATGCTGTTCCTGGAGAAGGTGAAGGCGAAAGCGGCACTGGTCATCTCTTCACTGGGCAGCGGAAATGCCATGGCGATGCCGACCGCCATCTCGCCGGAGTTGGCGACCGAGAACGGCACAAGCGCCACTCCACCTGAAGTAGAGGAGGATCTGGACATCTACGAAATCCTGCGCGCCGCCTGGTTTACCCGTGTGCAACGCCTCGAAGAGTTCGCTGCCCGTTACATCGCCTACCGCCTCGAATCCTACATTGACGATCCGGACTTTGCAGAGCTGGTGAAGGAGTCTGCCAGCCGGATCAGCGCGAGGCAGGAAACCGACTCGATCGAACTGCTGGACGACATTCGGTACTATCTGAGTGAAAGGTTCCGATTGAGATTCGAAGACTCGGGTCTTGAGGATGTCATGGACGAGGAGCAGGCCATCATGGCCGAGACCCTCGCGCAGTCACAGTCACAGTCACAGGGACAAGCGCAGGTACATTCCGCTGACGAGTCAACCACCGCCGCCCCCGTCTCACTACCGCAGTGGGGTTCCCAGACGACGGCGACACCGGCGGATTCCCAGAAGCAAGGACCACAGTTTCCCGATGACGAAGGCGTCGACATGTCCACGCCCACGCCCGCTCCCATTGCTGACCCGGACTCTGTCGAGGCGCTCCTTCAGTCCGGCGCCGTGCGCACCCTGGACGGCGAGCTCGCGGGCGACGAATTCGCCGCCGACGCCGTCAACTACCAGATCCTCCTGGGCAAGATCGACCGCCTGCTCGAGCAGTTGAAGCTGGACGCTTAGTACCTCGATACGACCGACAACCAGGCGAGGCGGGAAAATGGCCGGGCCTGCCCGCCATATATTTACGCATTCTATCCATTCCCCTACCCCCTGTCTTCCTCGACATAGCTGGGCACTGACATGATTGCATATAAAACAAGATAGAAGATAGACACCCGAGGTCACGTTTCCGCCCACGAGAAAGATGATAGACAAAGAATGATTATAATGTACGGCAATGTCATGCATCAAAGATTTTCTTTTGGATAGAGATTCTCAGGTCAGAACTAAGAACTGGCTATGTAATGCTTTCCTTGTCGTACCTAGAGGGCTCAACCAGAATGGCAATTTGTTCCCGGTCTCGATTTTCCTTAACCATCCTTATCCCAGCAAAACCTCACGATACACATACATTGTCCTCTCCTGCCGAATAGAAAAGCAGAATCTGGTTTGCCAACTCGTACACAACGTCTCGGAATCCCAGGCCCCAATCCATTTGTTCGTCAACTCGCCAAGCTCCTGGTCTAAGAAGCCATGTAGGTACTTGAATCCACACCACCCTCAGGGTAGGGAGGAACCTGAGCGTCGAACCGCTTCTCAATCTCCTTCAGCACAGCCTCGTCCTGCTCACTGCTGACAAAGCTGATACTTAACCCTTTGGTACCGAATCGGCCGGCACGACCGACACGGTGCAAGTAAGAATCAGCATCGGCGGGCAAGTCGTAGTTGATGGCCAAGTTGATGCGTTCAATGTCGATACCTCGACCAAAGACGTCAGTGGCAACACAGATTCGCTTGTTGAACTCCTTGAACTCCTTGTAGCGTTTGATACTGTGTGAACACGATTAGCACGGCACTCACAATTTGTGATTTAGCGTGTGGGTTTTAAGTTGACTTACCGCTCCTCTTGGCTGACACCGGAATGCACCGCAATGCTCGGGAAATTACATTCCCGGAGCAGCTTATCGAGCTCAGTGGCGCGGAGAGTACTCTTGACAAAGATGATAACCTGGTTGAACTCGAGGCTATCGAGCAAGTCGTTGAGTTTGCGGTTCTTTTCGCCCTCGCTGAGCTTGATGGAGTATTGTTGGAGACCGTGGAGAGTGAGCTTGGTCTCGTCGTCGACAAACACCTCGAGAGGGTTTCTCATGAACTTGCGACAGATAGGCCTGATGTCCTGCGGCAGGGTCGCGCTGAACATCATGACTTGCTTCTCTGTCGGGGTTGCTCGGAAAATCTCTTGCACGTCGCGACGCATGTCTGGAATGGAACTGTCAGAAAATGCATCGAATAGGGTAGATAGTTGGGGTCCTAATGCATACCGATTTGGTCCAGCATCTTGTCGCACTCGTCGAGGACAAACGCCTTGACATTACGCAGTGACAGGATCTTGTCGCGGACAAGAGCGTTGAGACGACCGGGGGTCCCGACAATGATGTTGGGGAAGGATTCCTTGTTCTTGAGCAGTTCGATATCCTTCTGGATTGGTGTGCCGCCATAAAAGACTGCTGTCTTCACGTCTGGAAGGTACTTGCTGAATCTTGCGTACTCATTCTTGATCTGATAGGCGAGTTCACGTGTATGGCACATGACAAGCACAGAACATTCGCCGGGAACAGGTTCCAGTTGGTGCAAGGTGGTCAAGACGAAGACGGCGGTCTTTCCGAGGCCGGACTTGGCTTGACACAAAATGTCGACACTGAGTAGAGCCTGTGGAATACATTTTTGCTGGACTGCAGGAAATCGTTGATGTTAGACTTGGTTCGGTAAAGAATGTGTGAAGACGACAAAAGAGCATCGCAGGCTGATCCGTCCATCTCCTTGATTTTCCACCGGAAAGGAATGTATCATTTCCCTTTTCATTCCACCACACCCCATGGCTGGTTCTATTACCGAACGCCAATAACGCACATTCAGACCTCCATCCCCCACGAATGTCACAACGTGGGTGGGACGTTGGCCTGTGTATGCGAAAGTGTCATCATTGGCAGCATTTTCAGCATGCCTATTTGGATGAGGAAAGGTGGCAGGCCGGAGAGAGAGTCGCGCTCCCTTCTCGGACTTCAAACTGCAACCTTCCAGTGCGGTACGTCGAAACAGCAGGCGTGAGCCTATGGCATGCCATTACCCGCTCAAGTCCGACTGTAGAATCGCCGACGGGAAACTTTCGAATCCGTTGGGACGACCTTCTTGGCTCGTGTACTTTCTTTCCTTCTTTCCCTTTTTTTTCTTGGAGATGGACGGACGCGCTCGTAGCAGGAAGAACTTTGGAGGGTGGATATATTGCTTGCAAGAATTTATGGCAGGATGGATGATGAATGACTAACCCTCCGAAGGATGCTCGAAACCGCAGTCGGTGATTGCTCGCAGCAGCTCGCCTTTGAGCAGGAAGTCTCTGAAGCCGGTAGAGTGGATGCCGACATAACTGCCTTTGCCCTTGTCGGTTGTTTTGCCTCCGCTGACAGTGAGATCGCCCTTCTTTGCAGCACCGTTGGTCGCGCCAGCGGCTGGAGCCTCGGGGGCTTGAAGTTCCTCGTCCGAGTAGTCGATGAGATCCTCCTCGGCAGACATGGTGGATGGCGTGGGTGGCTGAGGCTACGAGGCGATGTTAAAACAAGGGGGGGTGGTAAGAGGTTGGTGTGAAATCAAGGCTCGTCTTGATCCGGGAAGCAAGAGATGAAGGCGGGGAGGATGATGGTGAGGGGGCAGAACCAGCCAAGGTCTGCGAGGTACGCGACAAGAGATTGAGGTTGTGATGAAGAAGATATGAAGAGATTGATGAAGAAGGAATAACAATCGATGAGAAAGATGGCTGCGCAGGAATGTTCCAGGTTGTTTTCTGCGGCGGCAGGGGCCAAGGCGAGGCAGCCTTGACGCCAAGACCACGTTGCTGAGTCATGCCCCTGTCACTGATAATGCCAAGACTGCTCTAGGACGGGTTGCTTGACCGTATTGACCAGGATTCTGACTGTGCTTGACCGTAAAGTTTTCTCCGCATTATTTGGGTCTGATGGAATATTCATCTTTGCGGTAAAAGTACTTCGTACTCGCAGCTCTTATGACTGTGTGGCTGAGAAACAACCAATCCCGACAACAAGCCTCCAAGGGACAGGGAGAGCCATGTCAATAATACTCCCAATCCTTTCTCAGAGGATGAAACACCGACCGAGGTGATGCACCAAAAACCCCTCCGGAATTTCACAACATGGGCAAATCAAAGCCGACCAAGAACAACTCCCATGTGCCACAGAAGCACCTTCACTCCAGATTATCCTATCTACACCAGGCTGCCACGTATCTAGTGACCGTCGATAACGGTAATGCGCGGCAGGAAGCCGCCGAGTCTGCTGGACGTGCGTGTGCGGTGTTAGAGGACAAGAATATCCCCACACACAGATCCATCGAGGCGACACGACTGCTGTCCCACCTTCGAGGAGTCTCTCGAAAGTCACAGATCCGGCTTGCACCACGGGTCAAACATACAATCTGCAAGCGCTGCGACGCACTCCTGATCCCGGGCGAAACAATGACGGAAAAGGTCGTCAACCCGAGCAAGGGAGGCAGCAAATCATGGGCCGACGTGTACGAGATTCAATGCGACAAATGCGGAACTGTCAAACGATTTCCTTGTCAAAGAAAACCGAACCAGACTGGGCAGGAAGACTCAAGACCTGTTGCAAAGAACTAAGCCCGAATAAACATTTGCATTGCTTGCAGTTAGCCAGCTTCCCATTGCCTCTAATCCCACAGTGGCCCATGCCCAACCGTGTCTGTTTTGCGGCCTGAGCCACGACATATTTATCGGACGTAACCAATCCAGACCGCATGAGATCGAGGAACTCGTCATTATGTGCCTTCCAACGCCAAAAAAGGTCAAAGCTCCATGCAAACTTCACAGCAAACAAGTCCCACTCAGTACTCGTACATTCATCAAGCATGACCTCGTTAACTAATGACCAGCCGTGAGGCTTCCATCTCTGCATTCGCCGTGAAAGTGTGGTAAAACAAAATTGAGACGCCCAGGGACGAGAAGCGCCTAGGAGGAGTGTGGCTCTCCCAATACTGTGAGACGTGGTTGAGAGAGTCTGCCGCCCCGCGTCCCCAGGGCTGTGCAGAATTATAGTTGGTTTGTAAAGTTCATGAGTGCTCAGCGTCTCGATAGACCAGTTGCATTTCAGCGTCGAGTTCGTGCTCCGGCAGAGCCATGGCCGCTCGGGCGAGTGCGATCGAGCCTATCACCCAGCTCATCCACGTTGTTTCTGATGGCCCTGATCTTGTCGCGAATCCGCTTGATCTTCCCAAGATCTTCTTCGAGCTTGTCAATATCAGCCAAGATGCGATGCATTCTCGCGATTTCTCGGTCTGCATCCCGCGTGACGCTTCCAGCTTGGTTGGCGGTAGCTCTCACTGACCGTTCAGTTGCTTCTTCGAGCTACACAACAGTCAGTCCATGCACGGAGAGTTTCGGGGGCGGACCAATGCTCGGATGCATACCTCGCCAATTCGACGCTGGATATTCCTGATGACGTTCTCCAGGTGCGCATATAAAGCTTCCAGGCTATGGGAATCCAGCATAATCCGACCAGGAACACTTTGGCTGCTAGCAGCACTGACGGCACGGGAGCTTGGCTGCGACTGCCTGCTAGTGCCGCGGCCACGGTCGGGCATGCTGCCTTGATGACTTCGCTGGGCCAGGATTTGTTGTTGTTGCCGGAGAAGAAACAACTCAGATTGAGTCAAACCCAGAACGGAGTCGGCGACTGACTGAGTCGCGGACATGGACGTCCCGGGCGGGCAGCAGAGATAGCAGTGGAAGTGACCAATCTAAGCGTTGAGGCAGATGAGCTTCGACAGGAACCCGGGGTGATCAAACGGCACATAGCAGTTCTGAGAGCTGATAGGTTTGCGAGAAGCCGTCAAGAGTGGTGCAAGAGACACCAGACAGCGAACGAGCTGCGAGATATGGCAGTTGGGGAGAGACTGGTCATTGTAGCTTTGACGTATCGATGGGCGCGTCGCTAGCGACCGCAGAGCCTCAAAAGTTTGGCGAAGCGCTCGCACTTTCTTTGCCTCAAACAAATGGATGGGCCTATCTTTTTATTCTCTTTCTTTTCCTCTTTTGTCTCCTCTCTTCGCCCCTCCCAGGATCCCGGCGGCAGGTGTGCAGAGGGTCCCTATTTAAACGTGTAGCAGGAGATATTGGCTTTGGTTCAGCTTGTGCCAAGAGGGGTAGGACAACGGTCGGCAGAACAGTCGATGACAAGCGTGCTCGGAAGAGCAGCAGACTAGAACCAGGAGATGAAAGTGGGCGCGGGAACGGCAACGGAAGCGGGGATGGCGACGGGCGAGACGGTTGAAGAGGAGTATTGTTTCATCGCCTGCAACGGTGACCAGCAGAAAAAGTGTGAGGAATGGATACGATGCAGGGTAAAGGAGAAACGAAAAGGAAAAAAAAGGCACAATGAAACTGAGTGAGCTGAGAAAACGAAAGAAAAGAGGAGCGCGGCTATCGCAGCACAGTTAGGTCGTTAGATACTTCTCTTCGATGGGCCTTCAGCAGCCCTAGTGCCTGGCTAAGGAGTAACAAGGACAAAGAATGATCGTGGGGACCAGCAGGTGACCGACTTTAACAGCACCGTGGGATGGGCACAAGATATGTTCGATTGGCTCCGGAGCCGTGGTCTTTGTTAGTTTGGTAAAGGAGGATCATTTTCGTGGGGCATGGATGGAGGAGAGCGAGTAGCAGCAAGCGAAAAGGGACAACCGACAGGGGGGCGAGGGAGGAGGTAGGGTGCCTGGGCTGTTTGGATCTTGATTTGAGCATTTCGATAAAGCGCCAGTGAAAGGATAGTAGAAGCTGAGCGAAAGATGTGCGAGGCATGCAGACAGAATAGAGAAGGGGAGCAGAGCAGGAGATCAGCAGCTTCAGCTCCTTCTCTTCGTCCTCCTCCCCTTCAAGACCTTCCTGCTTGCGTTTACAAGAGGGAAAAGACTCCTCTGCAAAAATCATCATCGCTTCTATCTGTCAATCCCTCACACCTGCCGCCGGCTTGTTGCCCACCAGCCTCGTATCCTTTCTTCGCACTCAAGTCAGTCACAGTTGATGCCGCCTGCGCCTGTGCCCGCGCCCACATTAACTGCGCTCAAGAAAGGAAACACCAAGGACAATCCACCACGCCGTCCTGCCATCCTGGTGACAATGCACAGGCAGCTCCAATTACCATTGTCTGAATTGGTTCACGAGGGATGGCTTAGCCGTTCATGCAGGAGTCAACGCTCCCCCCGAGAGGAGCTGCATCTACCACTGCAGCACTACTGCAACCCACCCATCTTTTTGGCATTCTTTTGGAGCTTTTACCCTGCATCACCCTCCTGGTTCCCGCCTCTTGGGTTCGTCTGCTTCTGACCGGTGAGACCCAATGTTTCATGGGTGCAGACGTGACACCAAGCAACCCCAAGAAAAGTGACTGCAATCAATCATAATATCTGGCCCGCTCACTTAGTCAATCCCGCCCTCGACTTGCATGATTTGTGCCACTCCACGCGCCTGCGGCACCGGCCGATCTTTTTTGAACTTTCTGACGTCGCGGTGCAGGTCCAACGACTTTCTTAGTCAACAATCCATCAACCCAAATTTCCCCGTACCGTTATCCCTCCCGATTTTCAAATACCATCCCACTCAATGGCGAGAGACAAGGAACGATCTGTCAATCCTGCGCAACAGCAGCGCAAGCTCGAAAAGGCGAGGCAGCTGAAAAAGAGTCGGGCGGAGCTACAAGCAAGGCGTAATGAGAAATTGGCCCGCCGAAACCCCGAACGCATCCAGCGCCAAATCGATGACCTCAAGGCTCTCGAGGCTACAGGAGACATTAAAGCGAGAGAACGGGCCATTTTAGAGGATTTGGAACGAGATCTACGTGCGGTCAAGAAAGCAAGAGAAGCCTTGGGCGACAAAGCCCCCAACTTCTCTGGGCCATCCCGTCGACATGACGCTGAGGGCAGTGGCACTACGCTGGGCAAGAGAAGGCATGATGGCGAGCGCAAATACCACCAACCGAGACAAGACTCCTCAGGTAGTGACACGGATGATTCTGTCCGTCGCATCCCCATGCCTGAAGATACACCGCCACCCATTCCACGGGAATTCAGGCGCAACCCGCCGCGTCGAGACGATGGCCATAATCCTCAACAAGCGAGCTCGCCGACCGAATTACCACCCACCAAACCAGGAGCGAAACCCATCGAGGTAAAAACCACGTACGAAAGTGCTCCGCAGATCCGTGATCTCCGCAAAGAAGCCGTCAACAGATTTGTACCAGACGTTGTCCGGAAGAAACAAGAGGCTGCAAAGGGCGGACCCACGGGTCGCTTGATCGAACCGGAAGAGATGGACCGCCTCGAAGCCGAGGGCTATCTAGGCAAGGCCAACGACGAAAGGACACAGACCGCGACAGCAACGACTTCAACCACACCTACAGGCGACGAGGGCGCAGACGAGGATGCAAGGCGACTTGCGGAGGAGGAAGAGCGCTTTCTCCGCGAGGTGGAGATGCAGGATCTTGAGGACGGTGGAACTCCAGACGCCGAGCCACCTGAGGGCGTTGATGACCTGGGGCATCATTCCAGCAGCGAAATCCAGCCGTCGCACCGCATTCCACATCGTCGTAACATGGAGATTGAAGAAGTCGAGGACGAGGATGCCTAAGCAGAGCATGCATAGTGAGTGTGTTCTAGGACATCTGTGCGAGAGACGATGGGAACGAGGGGACAAGTTTGGCAAACCCCAGGCAGCAAGGTCCATCCATCCGCCCTCATCTTCTGCGAGCAAGTCAGTCAGATGGGCATCGTCGAAGCTGTGGACTACACAAGTTCTTCTTGGTTCCAAATTCTCATGTTCGCGTAAAACTGCAGACTGGCCTGGCTGATAACACTAGAGGTCGCATGCATACATACAAGGCAGTGTTTTTTTTTGTCCAACGCGGTGCTAGACGAGCTGACTATCCAGACTCGCCTGCCTCGTTTCAAGTAGAAAGTGCAAGCAGCACTCACTTCCTCCAGCAACTGATCGTTCCAACTCCCCCATCGGTCAATAGATCAATCCTCTTGACGGCGTCAGTGAACATAATTCCTCAAACGCCAGAGCGCCATCGTTGTTCCCAAAGCGACATTCAGACGCAGGCTTTCCCAATGCACTCATCGGACCTTGATCAACAATCCCAAACAAACGAAATAAACCCCAAATTCCTGTACAGGGGACAGTAACCCCTGCTTCGACAAGCTCCGGTATTGTAACATTCGCCAAAGGCAACTGGCCGGGTGTTGTGCTGCCCATTTCCTTCTTCAGTCCGAAGAAGAGACTCTGGTGCCACCGGAAAGACCACAGCATAGACCATGATACATCAGATGCCATCCATGTCCGACCATATTCTTGCAGATTGACTCATTACGTGGTCGCATGATCGTCGTTATTCCATTCTCCGTGCAAGATACTCATACGAGGATAGTCGTGACTACCGCATAGCCCGCACGGATTTGACATCTTTCTTCAGGAAAGGACTGGGCATTTCATCCCCGAAGATCTCTGGATCCCAAACCGGAACTGGAGGTAGGTCCTTTTCGCTTCTCTGGTCCGGGATGGTCCTCACTTTTGTGTTCAAGTGGCCTCCAGCCCGGGCCTGAGCGAGTTCT